GCGTCTGGCCTTTCCCAAAACGCTGTTGTCTCCAAAAGATAGTTCTGATCAACAGCCAGGACCTGAATTATACATAATTCAGCCTGAATCCCCAGCACTTGAATTATAACCCATGTTCCCTACAAGGAAAGCATCCCCAGCCAGGGCACGAGCTGTCCTCTGCTCCTTCGGCATCAGGAGGTCTGGCATGGGACTGGCATGGTGTTTGCTACTAGTCATGGGCTCTTCTAGTCTCTGCTGTGCTGAGGCAGGCCAGAGGAATAGGTGTGTTTCCTTGGGATCTTGCTCCCATGCTGGAAGGGGACTTCTAGGGTTTTTTCCATCGCTTGAGGTCATCATAAGCAGCTCTTGGGTAGTAGGATTGGGAAGTCACTGCAGCACTGAGCGTGGGTGCAAGCCAGAGCTCAGTCCAAGCAAGCTCTGTCATTTAGTGTTTTCATGAGTCTCAGCTGAAGTGGAGAAGACCTGTTCTCTGTCTGCTTCCTTGTCTGAAAACAGCAAAATGGTGCTACATAACTCCTCCAGCTCCAATATGCCATCGGCATTGCTCAGGAGGGTCACAACCTTCTGCTGCCACTTCTCGTGCACAGGAGGGAAACTTGGTTCCCTCAGCTTGCCCATGGATGCAGCAGGAGCTTCCAGGAGTCCTTGGATATGCTCCTCTAGCTTCAATGACTTTGCTGCATGTCACATGGAGACAATGTCTGAACCTTCCAGGACTGGCTTTGCCCACTGGAGCTGCCACAGCCCAGGGAAACATCTCTGTGGGCTTCCAGGAGCACAGCAGCAGCCCCTGACCCTGCTCCTTGAGGCAGCTGGTAACAGACCACAACCCTGACCTGCTTACAGGAACATATAACCCTACAGACTGGGCTGAAGGTCCAGCCAGCCAAGCCTCTTGCCTCCAATGGTGGCCAGAAGCAGGCTGTGATGAGTACTGGGGACGAATACCACAACGGAGCAGACACCGAGCCAGGTTTCCCAAGTATACTCTTTTAAGCTTCTAAGAGTGTGTAGCTCCAGGGCTTTCTCCATCATAGATGGTTTCTCTGTATTTAACAGGCTCCAGTGTGTTTCTTTTCTGTGAACATATCCTGTTTACCCTTGGAGACTTTTAGTACTCACAGCTTCCTGCACCCAGGGCCTCCAGGTCTGGACTGTGCTCATGAGCAGTCTTCTCTTTCAACTTGTTTTGAACCTGCTTCCCACTCATTTCACGTGATGCTCCCCAGTTCTCTCCAGTGCAACACAACACCCATCTTCCTGCCACATAGCTGCTGTTTTAGCCACTTCTTTTCCAGAGTGATGGATCTGCTGTTCCCTGGGGGCTTTCTGGTGTGATGGGGGACACAAGCTTTCTCCAACCCTCCTGGGGAGGGACTGGCGAGCTCAGCGTCCAAATCCCAGCCTTCAGTGCTGCGTTTTCTCTTTTCAGATGAAGAGGAGGAGCTGAACGAGGACACTGTGGAGAAGATTGTGAGATGCATCATCCAAAATGAAGGTGAGCATTTCCTAGGGCTGGCCCAGAGATTTGCTGCCCGCTTTGGCTGACACATTCCCTTTTTCCTCTCCCTGCAGCAAATGCGGAGGCCCTCAAGGAGATGCTGGGGGACAATGAAGGGGACATCCCAGTGCCAGTGCCCAGGTGAGAGAAACCTATACCAGCTTGTGGCTTTTGCGGAATAATGGAGAAGCAGCCTTTGGGTACCACTTTGGTCTGTAGACTCTGCAGCCAGCCCCTTTCCAGCTTGTTATAAAACATCTTCCCAACAAGAAGTCCTGCTCCCCTGAGGGTTGCAATGCTTCACCCCATTGTCAGGCGGAATAGCCCTTCTCATTCCTGTCCTCACAGGAAGTCCCCTCCAGAGCTGCTGCTTCTCAGGGTTTGCCGCAGCGAGGCTGCACCGAGGTTGGGAAGACTCCTCCAGATAATATGACCTGTCATGTCCTTCTCCTATTGCAGCCTTTGTCCTCACCGTAACAGTCAGGATGGGGGCCCACCACATCACCACACAGTGCATTTGGGCTCCACACAGGCCCCCTGCATCCACTGCAGCAAGAGGAAGAGGCACCCACTGCATCGGCAAGGACGGTCCAAAGATGGCAAAAGCAGGATGCATCCTGGAGAGACCACTGTCTTCTCAGTGGGCAGGTACTTATATGAGCTTTGCCAGACATGGGCCATCTGCTCTGATGGACCAAGAATTGTGGAGGGTCTTCTCAGGTACTCTATTTCCTCCCCCATGTGCCCCACACCCGTCACCCTCTTGCTCTTCCCCGTTTAGATGCCCCAGTGGTAGCTCTGCAGCTGGGAATCCCGAGGACCCAGGTACCTCCTGCACCTGGAAATGCCTGTGGTATGTGGCAGGCCATGACGCACGGGTGGCTTCCCTCCTCCTCCTCTGGGAAGGTGGCTCAAGCCTGGCTTGTCCTGCTGACTCAATGCTGGGCATAGCCCCAGATCCATGTCTTTCCAAGCCTGCTGTCCCAGCTACATGCAAGCAGGGCTCTTGCTGCCCAACTGGGGCAGTGACCCCAGTTTTAGGGATCTCATTAGGAGGGGGAGAAGGTGACAGGAGGTCCCAGGTGCAAGTTACCACCCACTGCCTTCAAAATGAAAGAGTGGTTATGGTCTTCCAGGTTGTTGCCTCCAATCATGACTGTAATTAGATGCCATGGGAGGAATATAAGAATAGGGAGTGTACCCAATACTTCCCACAAATACTTGTCCAGTCCCCACCTGGTCGGACCTTAAGGGACTTCCTGAGCTGCCTGTGGTCTCTGTGTAGTCAATAACCTTTAGTACAATCTGAAGGCTTGCCCAGGTTGCTCCATTCCCCAGCCAAAAGTGTGCACAAGACCTTTAGCAAGGTCTTCCAGGGCCCAGCTCCTTACCACCATGGTGACCGGGGCAGGTTGACAAGCAATTGATGGTCCCTGGATGGCCACTTCAGTGAGACACAAAGCTCTGCTGCTCAGATCCTGAAGCAGGTCTTCATTTGGGGCCTAAGCCCTGATGAATCTCCACGCTGTGGTCCAGAGATGGTCCTTTCATCTCTGGTGATGCTGAGCCAGAGTGGGCATCGGGGGTGTGGATTTTTCCACTATCACAGCTAGGAGCCTCAGTAGGGAGGTGAACTGTGGAGGGGCTTTATGTGGAGCCGTTAAAGGGGAGAGACATGTTGGACCTTCCCATGCTGAACCCCAACCAAGATCACACCTTCTGGAGACTGCTAAATTTCTGGCTTCCTCTTTGACGGTTGCTGTCAGCTGTCCTTGTTTTAAGGGGTGGTGTTTGGTAAGCCAGATCTCTGCACAATTGCATATTCATGGCTAATCTCATTCCCTGGCTGGTACCCAGCTCCATCCGCTCCTCTGTGTCTTTTGTCCATGCCCTTCTCAGTCTCCTCTCATTCACCTCTGAGTGCTGGAGAAGGCAGCCTTCTTTCCTAAAGGCACTTTCCCCTCAAATTTTGGTTTTCTCCCTTTATACTCAATATACCATGTCACACTAGCCTTCTCCACAGAACAGTCATTAAATCTCTCAAAGGTTATATTTTAAAAGTTTCTGCTTCCTGAATCTCCTTGGTGTGAAGTTCAACTGCTAAGGGGCCTATGTGCCCATGATGTACAATACTACCTGCAAATTCTGGTTCTCATTTCCAAGCTGGCCCCTTTCAGATCTTGGATGACTTTCCTGGGGCTGCCCTTACTACGCCTTATTCACTATGAAAATCCTCATTGCACAAAGTACCTCGACTTATGACTGATCCTGTACCCTTTAACCTAGCTGTTCTGCTGCAATCCTCAGGTCTTGTTCCTCTCTTCTCTCTGCTATTACTTTTGTTTTGGACACAGCGTTCGAGAGTCCACCCCCCTTCCCTGTAACCTTCAGCTCTTTGCCTGAGTCTGATCAATGAGATCCCGGCTGGATCTCACTGTGCTGGTAGGCACAGCCTCATTGCTCAAGGAGTCTAAGAGGGGAGGGCAGGGAGGGGAAGCTCTTAAAAAACTACTCCAAGGGGTGGGGGGAGTTTCAATGAAGATGGAAACAGACTATTCTCAGAGCTGCACAGGGAAGGGCAAGAGGCAACAGCCATAAGTTGCAACAAGAGAAGTTCAGGTAAGACGTAAGGAAAAACTGTCTCCCTGAGAATGGTGCAGCCCTGGAACAGGATCCAGAGAAGTGGAGGAATCTCCATCCTTGGAGATTTCCCAAAACTGGCTGGATGGGGTCCTGGGCAATCTGAGTGAGGGTGGGAGGTGGCCCAATTTTGAGCATAGGGTTGGACTGCAGACCTCCCACTGCCTTTTCCCACCTAAATTATTCTACAGTTCTGAGATAATCAGGGCTATATGATCTGTACTCTCACATTATTGAATGATTTACCATCTCTCTTAGGGCTTTCCCTAAACCAGCTGACAGTGGCAGAGCTCAACCACCAAACCATCTGTGTCTGACCTTCCGTCCTTATTCCAGTCAGCTGCAGCATGTCACGTCCTATAGAATCAAACACCTTAGCGATGCTGACTAGGCAGACAGCCAGTGCTCTCCTGCCTTTCCCCTCATGATCCAGAGGTTGGTTACATTACCTCTTGTGCCCCCTCCAATCAGAACCTTGCCTGCTCCTTTGAATCCATTCTTGGCTCTTCCAGGCCGACATTGCTCAATAGCATTACCAAGGAGGCCACTCGTGCCTCCTCCCAGTCCCTCTTTGGGACTGGAACATTCTCTGGTCAGAGTGGTGGTGCCATATCACCAAATATCTGGATAGACCTGAAAGGTCACATTTGCTGCTGCTTGGTCTGACTGAGCAGTCCTGTCAGTACCTCATCCATAGCTGAAGCACTTTGCTTCTTGACCCTTCCAGTCGTGAGCAGCACTTCTGACTGCACTGCTGAGGGGTCTGTATTGTCCACAGAAAGTAGCCCAATCCCCAGTCTGGCGTCAGTCTCCTTCATCTCTGACTTCTCATCTGGGACCTGTTCTTGTCTCTTGGACTACTCTTCTCAGTTCCTTCCTTCAGGATGGCCATACTGCCATTTGCTTGACCTTTGAGTCTTCTCGGCTTGCAATCCCAGCAGTGCTTGAATTTTGCTGCTGCAGTCACAGCTGATCCTCAGCAGAGCCAGGGCCATCTGCAGCTTCTTCTTGTGTGACTCAAGTGCAGGGAGAGCAGTTGCTGGGTGAGTCGTGGAGTGCACGAAGTCTCTGTGGTGGGATCTGCGTTCTTTGGCTGGTGGACACCAGCTCACCATGGAAGAGATTTCCCATCTGCTGATATAGCAGTGGCTTGCGTTGCTTACGAAGAGGAATCACAGCGTTAGTAACAACCAGATCACTTGCAATTCAGACTTCTAGGCTTTGCCTATGAGTTACCCCTCACAAATCCCAAAGTTATGGTAGATCCCTAACCTCTCTCTTCTCCCTACATGCAATATTGCATCACTTCCGATTATAAATGCACCCTTTGTGGGTGTCAGACCAAGTTCTGCCTACGCTGGAGCTCTGAGCTGTTACCTGGTATGTGGTGGAGCCTTGGTGAACCACCCAGGTACCATCCATCACTCCAGGGGATGGTGCATAGGGTGCTCTGGCAGATTTTAGCCAAACAACTCCTTCTGGCTTTTGATCCCTGTACCCAAAATATAGCTTGCCTTACCAAAATCCTGTTCCTGCCTTCACTCAGGGTGCACTGCCTGCCAAAACCTCTGGCTCTTGTTCCCCTGAAGGTGGTCAGTCACTGGGCACAACATCCTCATGGCTCTTCATGGCCGTCCCTTCCTCACCAGGCTCAGACCGTTTGCATTTCACCTGAATCAACACCTGAGTTCCTGTACAAGCCCCTGTTTGCCCAGGTTGCATCTTGGAGCATTTCTAAGAGCTGTGATGGAGGATGGGCTGTCAGGGCCTGCACCAGCCAACAGCTGGAATGACCTTTTCATCTCCCTCTTTCTATTTGTTTTGCTAAAAATGAAGGGGAAAATGTGGTTTAGTCAGTGGGGGCATGGCCAGTGTGGGGGTCAGTGGTGTTGAATGGGTCTGAAAGGTTGGAGATTGACAGCAGCCCATGACAAAGAGGAGACAAGTGAGGATGGAGGTGCAAGCAAGCTGGAAATACAGCTGGGAGAGAGAAGGGAAGGGCTTTTGATCCATCCTGTCCCTATTCTAGGTTTCGTGTCACACACATCGGGAAGAAACCCACTTTCCACGAGCAGCAGGACGGTCCCCTGCCTGACGGCAGCCGGGAGCTGAGCACAGAGGAGCTGGAGCACAGCAGTGACCGACTCCAGCGGGAGCGGGCTCACAATGGGACTGTCCCTATGGGTGGCCTGCAGAACGGAGCCATCCAGAGCAGCAAGGGTGGGGAGCAGAGCCGCTCCACCACCCCAGCCCCGAACACACCAGCCAGCTCCTGCACTCGCGACAGCAGGCGGGTGGGCAGGGGGTCTGGCGTGGCAGGTTCGCTGCAGGATGCTGGCACTGCTCCGGGGAGTGCGAGCCACCAGAGGAAGCTCCTGAGCCATAGGGTGCTGGGCGGGTCAAGTCCCAGCATCCCGGGAGAGCTGGTGCAGGAAGGAGCCAGCATCTACCTGGAGGAGATCGGACTGGGGTCAGCAGATGAAGTGTCAGATATTCACGGAAGCCTGAGCCTGCACGAGCAGGTTGATGAGTTGGGAAGAGACGACAGCAGCAGGAAACAGCCCGGAGTGGAGGACATGGGGCAGCAGGTAGGTTCCTCCTCTTCCTTGTCCCCTGGGCTGGAGGGTTTGATGGGCTGTGGCACAGCACCCCAAGTCCTGCTGCCAACAAGATCCAGCAGCCCAAGTGTGGTGGTGTGAGCTGTGCGGCGGGGGCAGG